GTCATCGCCTCGGTCGCTGCGTTCCCTCCTAAACTTTACAAAATTTTAGCCATCTCCCAACGTGTTGTCTCCTGCGGGTCAGCGCACCGGTGGCAGATGAGCTCCTCACTCAACTTTACAAAGTTTAAACGCACCTGACGAGGAGTCCCCTGTAGGTCATCGCCTCGATCGCTGCGTTCCCTCCTAAGCTTTACAAAGTTTTAGTCATCTCCCAACGCATTGTCCCCTGCGGGTCAGTGCACCGGTGGTAGATGAGCTCTTCACTCAACTTTACAAAACTTAGACACACCTGATGCGGAGTCCCCTGTGGGTCATCACCTCGATCGATGCGTTTCCTCCTAAACTTTACAAAGTTTTAGCTATCTCCCAACGCGTCGTCCCTTGCGGGTCAGCGCATCGGTGGTAGATGAGCTCCTCACTCAACTTTAAAAAGCTTAGACGCCCGTGACGCGGAGTCCCCTGTGGGTCATCGCCTCAGTCGACGCGTTCCTTCCTAAGCTTTACGAAGTTTAGTCATCTCCCAACGTATCGTCCCCTGCGGATCAGCGCACCGGTGGCAGATGAGCTTCTCACTCAACTTTACAAAGTTTAGACGCACCTGACGCGGAGTCCCCTGTGGGTTATCGCCTCGATCGACGTGTTCCCTCCTAAGCTTTACAAAGTTTTAGTCATCTCCCAACGCGTTGTCCCCTGCGGGTCAGCGCACCGGTGACATATGAACTACTCACTCAACTTTACAAAGTTTAGACGCACCTGAAGCGGAGTCCCCTGTGGGTCATCGCCTCGGTCGACGCATTTTTCCCTAAACTTTACAAAGTTTTAGCCATCTCCCTACGCGTCATCCCCTGCAGATCAGCGCACCGGTGGCAGGTGAGCTCCTCACTCAACTTTACAAAGTTTAGAAGCACCTGATGCGGAGTCCCCTGTGGGTCATCGCCTCGATCGACGCGTTCCCTCCTAACCTTTACAAAGTTTTAGTCATCTCCCAACGCGTTGTCCCCTGCGGGTCAGCGCACCGGTGGCAGATGAGCTCCTCACTCAACTTTTCAAAGTTTAGACGCACCTGACGCGGAGTTCCCTGTGGGTCATCGCCTCGGTCGACGCGTTTTTTCCTAAGCTTTACAAAGTTTTAGCCATCTCCCAACGCGTCGTCCCCTGTAGGCCAGCGCACCGGTGGCAAATGAGCTCCTCACTCAACTTTACAAAGTTTAGACGCACCTGACGCGGAGTCCCCTGTGGATCATCGCCTCGATCGCGGTCTCTCCTAAACTTTACAAAGTTTTAGCCATCTCCCAACGCGTCGTCCCCATTGGGTCGGCGCACCAATAGCAGATGGGCACCTCACTCAACTTTACAAAACTTAGACGCACCTGAAGCGAGTCCACTTTAGGTCATCGCCTCAGTCGCTACGTTGACCTTCTTCCTACGCATCATCCAGTCTTACGTAGTGGCGAAGCTTTAGAACATTTGCCTAAGATCATTGGTTCGGCGAATGCAGAAGATCAGCCCACAAACTCCCACAAGTCACGGTCCACGTACCGAGGCATACACATCTGGTCGGGAAGGCAAGTCTACCCATGATATAAATATTCATACCTGGACTTGGGGGACCATTGTTACAACCCTATCTGAACCACCTCGGAATATCCACCACCACATACTTCGATCTACTAGACACCCACCCGAAGTGGTTCCGAAGTGATCTCCCCCATATCAACGACTTGCTATCACACTGTGAGACATAGGCGATCCTTCTGAACTGACCGGAGCGCCCTCACCCCTGAGGCCGAGACGAAGTGCACTCTGGAGACCTCTGTTAGAAGATCCGCCGCCAATTTTAAAAGTAGATCTTTGCCAAGATCCTTTCTGCCCCTAAGGTTTAAATTGATTTGACGTCTTCATGAGGCTAGTTGATGTGACTTATCAACTTTATGTCAATTCAACTCGGGAGAAGCAATTACCCGCCCACTCTACAAACACGGCTGATTGACGCCTATGGGCAGACGCCTCATACCGTCAGATGTATACACGTGCCCCACATCCAACGGTTCATCCCACCTATAAATACCCAAGGGTTGGCAAGAGGTAAAGGTAATGAAATTCTTACTACATAGCACTCCATAGCAAGCATATATATATATATATTTTTTTTTTTTTTTTCTCCTTCCCCTTAATTATTTGATACAACCCCTGGGTACTGTTCCGACCATCTGAACCTGACTTGACCGTCGGAGTGTATACGGCCGCCGCCACCCCCGCTGGTCCTGACCGTGTACGTCTAACCGTGCGTTGCTTGTGCGCAGGGAGGAATACGTGAAGTAGCTCTCGGTTGACCACGTACAAAGTCCAATTTTCGAGGTCAACACTTAGTAAATATGACAATGTTTATTCTACCTCACATCCGATCAAAACTGCACTTTCTTTCCATCTTCGGTTAATCTAGTTGACCCTCGAATGAGTAAATTGTATCTTTGCTTGACTCGAAATAAATAATGAAAAATCTGTAAGTAGTTTCGTCTAAAGTTCAATGACCTTCTATGCAATTTTCACTCGTACCTTTCATTTTATTCAATATTCCTTCCAACCCAAATCTAGTACCCATCATGCAAGGTTAAAATATTAATTAATTAAATTAATTAAAATATGTACATTTGACCGCTCTTGACTTGGTTCCCTAATGTCAAAACAGTAACCACATGGTACTCCTCAAATCACGTGACGCTCTTAATTTACCAACTTGTTGGTGTCTCCTTGACACGTGATTCCCATTATTCCACATCTATTATTTAGTAATTAATTTTCCTGATTAAGTTAAATCAATACAAAAATAAGTGATTAATTTGACAAAATTTATCTTCGAAGTAGACGTATGCGCTCCGCATATTGTACACGTGGTGACAAGCTTTATACATAAAATTCGACAACCTTCAATGATTACATTACGTGGAAGAAACTATGTTATTTACGTGTCCGTTTTATATTGCCCTTGTTTGACCCCATTTTTGTGAAGAAAATGAATTTTTGAATAATGTATTGATAGAAAATGCGTGGTTAAAAAATAAGGAAAAATTTTTTATTTGCGAATAATATTATTTTATTGAAGAATGTGTGGTTGAAATGATGTCAAATCACTGTTGAAAAATATAATTTGGTTGAAAAATGGGGCGCAAACAAGGGCATTGTAAATAATATTTAGCATCTGTTTGTTGTAATTTAAAACAAAACTTCAATAGATTAAGTTGATGAAATATATAATTAAAAAGTTGTGAATTTAGGAAATATATAATTAAAATTAATTGTTATCTTTAATTTCAAAATATTAATTTGATTTTAATACAGGGCTTAGTACGTTGAATAAAATAAAATTTATTTTATACAGTTTTTTAGCTAATTGTGTCAAATCATGTCTTGTGTGGTACAAAATATTTCATAATTTATTTTAGTTTTTTTCTTTGTTGAACTTGACTATCTCGAATTCTCAATCATGATTTTCTACTTTGCATAAATGGTCTATTCTCGATATAATCACCGTAACAAAAAGGATCGAATCAAAAAATACGACTTTCAACTCTGTATTGTACTATGCTTGTTAGACTCAATAATCCATCCTTTTTAATAGATCGAATACCATCAATCCATAACGTATTAAATGTCAGCGTACTCTACATAAGTCGAGATAGACAAAGTTTATACAGTTTTTTAGCTAATTGTGTCAAATCATGTCTTGTGTGGTACAAAATATTTCATAATTTATTTTAGTTTTTTTCTTTATTGAACTTGACTATCTCGAATTCTCAATCATGATTTTCTACTTTGCATAAATGGTCTATTCTCGATATAATCACCGTAACAAAAAGGATCGAATCAAAAAATACTACTTTCAACTCTGTATTGTACTATGCTTGTTAGACTCAATAATCCATCCTTTTTAATAGATCGAATACCATCAATCCATAACGTATTAAATGTCAGCGTACTCTACATAAGTCGAGATAGACAAAAATACAAATTTTCGATCCAAATTTACACCTCACTCCATATCTGAAATCTATCTTGTGAATTCCATTTTTCTCAAAAAATTATTAAATCCAATCCATAATCCAATCATATATTAAATCCAAGCGAAAATTCAATCATATGACATCGTATGGATTTAAATTAAAGAACAATCATGCATTGGTATGATTTGTTTTGCAAGCACGTACAGTTGTGCACCCACGTGTACATATAACATTCCGACTCAACACATTGTACAATGACATGTACTTTCACGTATCTCCGTCTCTAACCACATTCAAAAATTATTAATAAGCCCATTTTCACTTATAATTATTGCATATTTAATTCTGACCAGCCCATCTTCCCGCATTCTTGCTATCGTATGGATTTAAATTAAAGAACAATCATGCATTGGTATGATTTGTTTTGCAAGCACGTACAGTTGTGCACCCACGTGTACATTTAACATTCCGACTCAAGACTCAACAGCCTCCCAGGGCACATTCGAGTTAGTGGAACAATCACTTCGCTGGGACGCTGGAAGCAAGGGTGGAGAGTTCGATTCCTGGAGTTAACACTGGGTGCTAAAATGGAGGGGAAGCCATTTGGTTGAACAAACGCCCAGCGAGGAGAGCTCTCTTTGCGGAAGGAGTCCAAATGAGTTGTGGGAACCTGGGAGCCAACAAGGGCACATCCTGCGATTTACCTCCCTGAGCTGCTGAGGGGCCGGAGGTTCAGGGACAAGGTCTAGTCGGACGCAAACCCGGACACCTTGTAAAAAAAAAAAAAAAAAAAAAAAAAATACATTCCGACTCAACACATTGTACAATGACATGTACTTTCACGTATATCCGTCTCTACCCACATTCAAAAATTATTAATAAGCCCATTTTCACTTATAATTATTGCATATTTAATTCTGACCAGCCGATCTTCCCGCATTCTTGCTTCATAGCCGAGGTTCCATTCCTCTCTGAAATCTGAATCTTCATTTTAAATCTTCATTACAGTTAATTAATCATTTATTATTTTCATTTCACACTAATGCATTGTATTAAGTTAACATCTTGTTGCTTATTTCTTAATTTAATGCGTTTTTTAGTGTTTACTTAATGGGATCTCTTGAATTTGAACGCTTCATTTTGAAGTTCCAAATTTTGTGGACTATTTAACCTTTAGTTATTGTCGTGGTGAATTTCAGTTTATTTTGAAATTCAAGAAAATATAAAGGATTTTCTTGACTCACTGGGATTTATCTACTCCCCGCAAGTTTTCCTAGTTCCGAGATTCAGATTTGGAAACTGGGCTTTTTCCGTCTGTTGTTCTGAAGAATTTTAAGCTTTTTAGGAAATTTCGTTGAAAATTTGTAGAGGTGAATTTGAATCTCTCTATATATATGCTAGCAACCAGCAAGTCTATTTTCTATATATCTTATTTGTATTTTTCTTATGTAAATGCGGAAACGGTGCCTTTAATAGACTTTCGGTGAGTAATAGCCGTTTTTTAGCCTTAAATCTAGATAGGAAGAGTATTCGTATGCCATTGTCAAATGACACATTTTGTAGAAATCTCTATGCAAATTTTGACATGTTATTGCTGCTAAACGGTGACGTATTTTGATAAACTTTTAAGTCCAGATTTTCTTCTGAATCAGTGGGTGTATGATGGTAAAGGTCAAGGGTGATGTAGAAATGACAGTGACTTTTAAATTTGTGTAGTTGCTGACAAAATGTTTACAAGAAAGGTTAATCAATGAAGTTGATTTTTCAAAAGCATCATTAGAAAAAATATTTTGAAACAGAAGAAAAAGAAATCCACTTTGTCATTAGATGAGAAAAAGACTGAGATTCTTAGCCTTTTCTCCTCGAATAAGACAAGCAAAGAAGGGAATTTCATTGAGTTGGTGTTAGTTCAGATAAATGAGCTGTCATACTGATATCTGTCTTATTTAATAAATTGGTGTTGAGATTATTCGAATTTGAGAGTTCTAATAGGATTTAGGAGTTGTTTTGGAGATTGAGAAGGAAAAACGAACTTTTGTTTCAGTATTGTGCATTGAAGAATGGGGCATTCTTCAGCAGTTTGGGACCATAGAGCAGCAATAGAATTGATAAAGGACTGGAATGGAATCGATCAGGTGGTGCTTCGGAATCCTCAGGGGGCGTCAGCACGAGTAAGATCCCATGATTGATCCCTTTTAATACATATATTTACATATAGAAATTTTTTACTTTTCCCCTTTTCTTGATTGATTGTGAGAATATTGCCATATACGGTGAACAGCTATTTCATTGAAATTCGTGTCGAATTCAAATTAAAATAATTATACAGGTTAGTTTGCACGGAGGACGGGTGATCTCTTGGCGGAATGATCTAGGTGAAGAACTTCTATTCTCCAGCAGTAAGGTGGGGTTGTAATTCTGAAGTCATTAAATTTTAGTTAGTCTAATGTTACATGGTTAAATTTCTTGGTTAGTAACTGAAGTTTCGACATCCTTACAAGGTTCGAGTGGCTCAAATATATAATTATTTTAATCTTTACAAATTCGCCATAGAAAATATGGAAGTTTTGGGGAAGAATCCGTTTGTGCTATTTGGTGTATTTTAACAATTGACGATAAAAAATTGACAATTATAATATCTCATTAGGATATGATGTTTGAAAAGTTGGACTCTTATTAGGAACTAATGGTATTGAGCAAACATAAAATCTACTCCATGAGTTTCAAACAAGTAACATCAACATTCCACGAAATTTGATTATAGTGGGCTTATGGTTTTATACTATATTTAATGATGTATCTTGGCATTGCATAAGTGTCATCTACTTCCATAAGCAGGACTTGTTAATTTCGGGAGTACAGAAATTGTTGTCCACAAATGTTCCATGTTTAATTTTTTAGCAGCTCTAGATCTTACTTGAAATCCCGATAAATTTAATGAATTTCTAAAAATCAACTATGGCCAAGATAATTACTTGCTTAAAAAATATCGATCCTCTTCCATAAATGATAATAAACTATTGACGACTTCGAGTCTAGGGAAGATTTCAATTAGGATTGTGCTAGAGAAGAAATCAGTTCTTTATTAATATTCTTATCGACATATCTTTATTTACAATATGATTGAGAGAGGTCTGTTCTTAGAGGTTTAATATTCTGATTAATTTTTTGTTGAATTTTCCTTCTTTTTTTGTTAATTTTGAAGGATACCCTGTCTATAAGGCTTTAAATCTTTTATAGGCCATCTTCAAGTCCCCAAAAGCAATGCGTGGAGGAATCTCTATTTGCTTCCCCCAGGTAACCTGCAGCTTATTGTATATATTCGACATACATTTCCGATGAAAATCCTTGACTCATGTATCAAAATGATGCTTCAGTTCGGAAATTGCAGTTCAATTGAACAACAAGGTTTTGCTAGGAACAAAATTTGGACGATAGAGGATGATGCCCCGCCTTTGCTAAAAAATGATATCCGTGGTAAATCCTTCATTGACTTGTTACTCAAACCAGGCGAAGAAGAACCGAAGTGTTGGCCTCATGGGTAAGAACTTCTATGCTTTGGAGACTTGTAACTTTTGAGATGCGCCAAGCAGGCATAGGCCTGCTGCTGACTGTGTATATTTGACTTTGAAACTTGTTATTGGATATATTTTTAGTTGTTCAATTTTCCTGAAAAATCCTCTTCTTTCCTCAGTTTTGAACTTCGTCTTCGAGTGTCACTGGCATCGGATGGAAACTTGGCATTGATATCTCGCGTTAGGAACATCAATGGGAAACCTTTTAGCTTCTTATTTGGGTACCATACATATTTGTCCCTTTCCGACATAAGGTAAATGCACATAATGGACGAAATTTGACATTAATTAGTTTTCTCCAATTATTTCTGTTTCCTCATGTCTGTGTTGAACTGTCATCGGATAGTGAAGTGAGACTAGAAGGTTTGGAGACACTGGACTATCTAGACAACCTTTGTCAAAGAGAACGCTTTACAGAGCAAGGAGATGCCTTAACATTTGAATCCGAGGTAAATCCTATTCTACGTCCTTTGACATTCTATGAGTTTTTCCAGCACTCTTTATGAAACAAATACTGAAGGCGGGCAGATGATTTTAACAGATTATTTGGTGGAATGAGAATGCTCTAGCTGAATTTTCTTTTACTTTTTCTTGCAGGTTGATCGTGTTTATCTTAGTTCTCCAAATTGTATTGCTGTTCTCGACCATGAAAGGAAGCGAACATATGTAATAAGAAAAGAAGGTCTACCGGATGTTGGTAAGATGCTTCAACTCTTCCCTCCACCAAAACCAAACAATGGGAACATAGGTTCATTTATTTTAGTTGTTTTAAGGTGACGAGAGAACTTATATACAACTTTCTGGCATCATAAAGCTTCTTTATCCCTGTTTGACGACCGTTATTTTTGAAAACAAAGTTTTGAATAGTATTTCTTAGGAGAATATGTGGTTAAAAAGTAAAGAAAAGTTTTTGGCTTACAAGCAGAATATTTTATTGTGTAAATGTGTGGTTTAAAATGAGTACGTAGAAAAAAGAGTTGGAAAATAATGGTTGTCAAATGGGGGCTTCAATTGTGCAAAAACTGGGTTTTTCATTAAACATAAGAAAATTGCCATGGATGTGTTCTAAAACTTTGATCGTCATTCACATGCGATACCAATATATATACAGTTGTGTGGAATCCATGGGAGAAAAAATCGAAAGCAATGACAGATTTTGGCGACGAAGAGTACAAACAGATGCTTTGTGTTGATGGAGCCGCAGTCGAGAAATTGATCACCTTGAAGCCGGGAGAGGAATGGACAGGGCGTTTGGAGCTTGCAGCTGTACCCTCAAGTTTTTGCAGTGACTACTTTGATCCTCAGCTTAAGTAAGAAAAAATTTACTTCTTGTATGATGTGATTTTAGACGAAATTAGTGTGTAATACATGTGATTAGGTTGGATAATCGGAAAATCGTTCAATGCAATAGTGAAGCCTATGATTTTTATTTAAATGGCTGCTATTTTCAGTTTGAACAGAAGAAATTTGGCCTAAAAAATGGTTCTTTTCTTCCGTAATTATAAGGTTGGATGGGTGGAGTTTTCGTTGTTTTTCTTTTGGTCTTGTATTCTTGGGAATATTATCGTTCAGTACCTCGCTGTTGTCTCGTCTCTTTCAGATAATCTAACATTTTGAGGCTGAAAGATTCTATAAGATAACATGTTGGCAAAATATGTCACTAGCTACTCGATTCACCAGGATTTTGTTTGGTTATTAACCCTCGTTTGACCTCCATTAATTTCCATTACATTACATTTCTCTCTCTTCTATTTTCCACCACACAATCTTTCAGGTCATCTTGTTCTCGACAAATTAAACATCAATCACTTGAATTATTTCAGGTCATTCCAACTGGTTCCGTCGCCCTATGCTAAAAATAATAATAATAGGAAAATCGTTTGGGGGAAAGTAGATTGCCAAATTAAAATATTGTTCATTAGTGTATATTCCTCTAAACAATAAAGGTTCAGTAGTGCAATATCAATACAAAATTAGGCATATTTCTAATCAGAAATGTAGCAAAGAACTCAAAGATGTCATACTCTCGTAGTAAGCTATACACCCCTGCGAAACTCTAAGTTCTTAGTATTTTCGAGCAATATCTGTCAACAAAACAACAAATTTTAGAAACGTCTGGGAAGATGAAAGACAAAAATGGAGTATTGAAGCTAGAAAAACACAGAAAGAAACAATGAAGAAAGCAGATCAAGTTGAAAGCTCTTACTTCTCGAATGTAATTTGCCACTGCTTTGCAACCTTCTATTGCTAGTTGCATGACGTTTTCAAAAATATCAATTGGTAATTTAGCATCCATCTACAAGGAAGAAAAGGTTAACATTTGAACCAAAAAATACACTAATACATAATTGGAGAATTTCGCTACCTACAGGAGGACGATGTCAACACCCCCCCCCCCAACACCCCAATAAACACCCAACACACACGCCTATGGTCCCATTTGACACGACTTCTACTTTTGCCCTTGTTTGAGCTCCATTTTGAGAGGAAAAATGAATTTTTGAATAGTATATTGATGGGAAATGTGTGGTTAAAAAATAAGGAAAAGTTTTGAATTTACATGTAATATTATTTTATTGAAGAATGTGTAGTTGAAATGATGTCATATCACTATAGAAAAATTCATTAATCCAAAGAATGGAAATCAAACAAGCCCTTTATCTCTGCTTCTTGTAGAAGAGGTTATGAGTAAATTATCTTAATTGGTGTTCGGAAACTAATTCGAAAATTGCTTTTTCTGCAGAAAAGCTAGAGGAAGCTTTCTAACTAGAAGAAACAACTTTATAAAATTAATCAAACAGGTACAAAAGAAAATTTTGAAAGGGTGTTTGACACCCATTTTTTGAGAAAAATGAATTTTAGAATAGTAGATTGATGAAGAATGTGTGGATGAAAAATAAGGAATAATTTTTTATTTATGTGTAATATTATTTTAATGAATAATGTGTGGTTAAAAAGCAGAGAGAAAGAAATATATTTTGATAAAAATGAGAATCAAAACTCCTTTTGGCTTCTTAAAACCATGCCAAAAGGGCCCTATGTTTTCTCCTGGGAGTAAATACAGGTAACATGAAACAGAGAAAAATATACCATCTGAATCAGGGAAGGTAGACAACACAAGAATATGAGAACAACAGAATTCAACAATAATAATAGATTTTATTAAGTCAGCCAATAACTCATATGATAGTATACAGTGAATTTTAAATTTAAGATGATGGAAATACTAAAGAACGTTCAGTAAGAACCTGAAGTAGAGTCACTTTGTCCAACTTGGGCAGAATTCCCACAGTGACATCAGGACCTCCAGCACTATCTTCCACATAGTTTAAATCTGATTAATTTAGAAAGTGTCAACTGCTAGCGTATGTAATAACTGGATCGCAAGGCACGAGAGCAAATGCAAAATATGTCTATGACAAGCATGTTTATGGAAAGCCAGTTTTGAACTGAAACTTCAAAAAAAAAGTAACTTCTGAAAAAGCTCAAACATGCTTGGCAAGAACTTGCTACTTAAAAGTAACTTTTAAGCTTAGCCAAGCATGCTTTAAGAAGTAAAATAAAGGAGGCTGTATATTTACCTAGAAGAGGAGTGCTATTAAGGTATCCAGAACTGCAGGAGGTCACAAGATCCCGCATAGGTATCCCAGCATCAGCCAGGGCCAAGGTTGCAGCATTTATGCATGCTGATCTTGTCCCTGGATTACATTAAAAATTAGACGATACAGGGAAGTTCATAAAACAAGAGAAGTATACAAAAGAGTTAATGCTTAGGATCAATAACAGATCCCAGGTTACCTCCATCCGCTTGGAGAACTTGGACAAATATATCTATCTGCAAGACATAAAGTCGAACATGGAATTAATAATAAAAAATAGAAAGAGTTCATAACTTGCCCTGCATTAGGTTGGAGTAAAACCTGAGAACGAGGCATGAGGTGTGTCAATATGCAGGCTTCCATTGTTTGACGAATAACCAAAGATATCTCTGTGGATCTCCTGCATGTCACATAAAAATTATTAAAAAGGAATTAATAGCATTTAAAAGTAAAGTACATTGGCACCACAAGTCCCTTCAGTCCCATAGAAAAAAGCATTTATTCTGCATTTTACTGAAAAAGATTTATTCACAAGGTCTTTTGTACAATACAATCATGAAGCCAAAACAACTGCAAATTGGCTCCAAGAGAGCTTCTAGAGCATCCAAGAATACTCAGGCTCAAGACATGATGATCCCATGCCAATATCTAGTATCATGTTAAAACACTCAAAGAGAGTTTTGTCGCCCAAATAATTCAAGGCCTCAGATTTCAGATTTTATTGAGGTTCGTAACTTCAAGCATGTTTTGGGTTGTTTATAAGCATGTTTGTAAGCATGAAATAAGCCACCCCAAACATGCTCTTAATTGGAAAAGAAGAAACTTGAATTACTCAATATATTTATTTACATTGACTACTTGCAAAATTGTGGGATAAATAGAAGACAAGGTTTGCACATCTTTCCCAACGAGAGATGCCATATTCATGCGGTCAGCTCCTTGGCCCAATGAAAAAACCAGTGCCGGCATCAGCTAGAAGATATGCAAATCGCCGTTCCAACTTACTTTGAAAACTCCTTTTGGAGTTCAAAATTTGGACATGAAAACCCACATATATTATGTACTTCATTCGAGAAAATAATTTATTTAATTTAGATATTTTCAGCACTTACTTTGAAGATTTGGAGTTCAAAATTTGGACATGACAACCCACGTATATTATGTACTTCATTCGAGAAAATAATTTATTTAATTTAGATATTGTCAGCATCAAAGATTATTAAATGAAAACACTACACTCAGCTTGTCTGAACATGATAACTTTTTTGGTTGATTATAAACGTGGTTCTACATATACTATTGGCAGTTGATATGAATAAATTTTTCTGTTCCCAAACAACTCGAGCATATCTTGTATAATTTATAGATGCATCTTGAGAGCCACAAAGCCACAACTATAGACCATTCAAGATTGGTTAAACTAGCACAACAAATTCAATAATATAATAATAGCCTAATCATGCTCCAAGCATGGAGCTACAGACTTTTCCAAATATTACATGAGATTTGTCCTCTTACAAGTGATTTACCTGTCACCCTTTGGTTTCCTCATGCGATCTCCAGTACTGAAATTAGCCATGCTATACTCACATCGCACCTGGAAAAATTATCAAGATGTTAATTTGGAATAATGGCTGAAGCAGTAAAACCTAATCAAAGAATTAGTTGCAGAAGGTAGTTTACCAATGCGTGGTCATTCATTTGTTGACCCTTGTTTTGGACCTGAAAGAACAATGGATTGAAAATGCCACTGGTGGATACATTGATAAGATGTTCAAGTAATCTTTTCTTCTTAATTCAACTAAAGAAGCACGAAATTTCATATACTGAAGCAACTTCTGTTCCATTGTGTGTGCATTTGTGAGTTTTCTTTCATTTTCTTTCGGTGAGATGAACATGTAAACACATCATATCAAGCAGCAGATAATGTAATTAACAGATGCCAGAGTACATTGAAAAATTATCTTATTGCAAAAAGGACCTAAAGGTATAGTTCTATGACAAAATTAAGAAATATACATGTCTAGATAAAGATTGTTCTTCAGAAATTATATTTGGTAACTGAAAATTATGGAAAAATGAGCAAAATACAAACGTAAATTTAGCAATACTTACAGAATATCAAAAGCCTGCCATTGTAGTACATATCTCAAGCTTTAGACTGGCACATAAACCCAAAATCACGAAATATGCAATTTACCCCCCTCGAGGTGTCTCTACATAAAGATATAGTGATTTTTTGGCACCAATTTAATTTATATACATAACCTACTTTGTAATACACACAAATTGTGGAACCCACAAGTACCACTCACTTGTCCACCGCTCATTTTTATTTATTCATAATTTAATTCGATTACAATCACTTCCCAAACATGCACACACTCTCATCGAGTCACAAATAAAGGAATTCTTGTTCGATAAGCTAAGCATCATTGACACCTATTTCATAGTCAGTAGGTGAGATCGATAAAACAATTGACCATGGCCAGATATTAATAATCAAAAGATGTACCATTCCAGCCAGATTCCATTAACATTGAAGTTCTACCTACTATCCTATTCAGTTAGCATGGTACTTGATAACATGGATGTCCAATAAAAGAGACTACATGTCACTGGCATATGCATGGTATAGACCCCCTTTTAAAATATGACATCATTGTGTGAATCATTGGTCAACTAGACTGCAAATCGTAAGCAATACGAACAAACTGATGCATTGAAACAAATTCTATACATTTTCGATTCACTTCCATAGGCGGTAGGGCTTAGGCTTTAGAATGTTCACAAAGATTTCATACAGAAACATCCTATGGTATTTTAATAACCCAGAAATTATACAATTAAATGATATGAATAATGACACAGAAATACTCGTAACATCAATGTTACATGTATAAGTACTCAGAAGCTTAGCCTTGTAGGTTCATTTTATGATTCTTATCAGCAGGATCACCAAGAACCTTTGCAAAAGCGGTTGAGCAAACTTAGTACTTATAAGTGAATTAACTTTACATACATTTTTCCATGAAA